ACTAACTTGAGTTGAGTCTTAATTCACACTCTCTCCTTTAGATGTCTAACTTGGTGGAGATTCAAGGCAACCAAAGTTAGGAGCCTAAGTTCCTTATCTAGTCAATGGAGAGAGGTAAGCACTTGAGGAAAGTGCCTAAATCTAGCACGTATAGTACACTCACGTTGTTTAACGAGAAACTTTGGGTCTCTTCTTAGTGTACTGAATGTTCTATTGATGGACTGTATTTTAAAAATGTGTGGCTCTTTTTTAAAAAGCTGATTGCAAACCTGAACTCACAGAAGCTAAACAACAGGTGAAAGAGATGAATATTGCATGGAGAGAGTTTTCAGGCAGAAAAGTTTGTAATAAATTCAAAATGAGATATTGGAGGGTATGAACCGGGGTCTCTTCTTAGTGTACTGAATGTTCTATTGATGGACTGTATTTTAAAAATGTGTGGCTCTTTTTTAAAAAGCTGATTGCAAACCTGAACTCACAGAAGCTAAACAACAGGTGAAAGAGATGAATATTGCATGGAGAGAGTTTTCAGGCAGAAAAGTTTGTAATAAATTCAAAATGAGATATTGGAGGGTATGAACCGTATACTCTTGTTTTCAGGCAGAAAAGTTTGTAATAAATTCAGATTGAGATATTGGAGGGTATGAACCATATACTCTTGTTTCATTTCTTAACTAGTTTTAAGAAACGTGGATTTAAAGTTTTCAGTTAAAAAACCAACAGTCGGAATAACTGCATCAAATTTTACACGTCTGATAATTCTGGTATGAGGCTGCTGACATGTATCAGGAGCAACTTTTGGGGATGATTGTTTGCAGAAATCTCTACATGTGACGAGGCTTTGTTTTTAGATATCAGCTGTTACTTTGTACTTTTAACAGGAGATCAGCTACTCAGTACGTAGATTTCTTAGTGTACAGTGCAAAGCGTATATCCGCATGAGTGTTCTTTTTCTTGCGGTTAGGTTGGGGTCTTTCAAGTCTGATCCTCCTGTACCAAGGCAACGGATTGAGAGGCAGAAGAAGGCGGCAGGAGGAGAAGAAAAACGAGCGATGCCTGCTCAGGTTTGTGAAGTGTTATCTTTAATAACGATTTGTTATGGCGTAGTTGTTACAACATCTGAACCTTTCTGTTCGTGTTGGTTTGGGTTTTGTAGTTATGAACTGTGGGATACTAAAGGATTCAGACTTCGTTATTAGGCTTCTTGACTTGCTTTGTGTGGACTGCAGTATTTCACTGAGTGAAAGGAAATAGGATTTACAGGCTGATTTCAAGCTCAGAAATAGGATTGAGAGTGTGATTTTTCAAGTTCAAATTGGCTTATTTGCACTGATGCTCGTTGCTTTGAAAGGAAACAAACTTCTTTACATTAGTGTGTTTTCAACTTCTATTTTTAAAGTGTCTTAACGGTGTGTGGCATTCACACAGAAATGTGGTTAACAACAGCAAATTAATTAGCTCACTTAACCACTATTTTCCCTGCTTCGTTTCCCTATTCTTTCTGTTTTATTCTGGCAGAAAGGCGAAAGTCTGAGAACACTTAAGAGGCTTACATTTGAAACTTTGGAAAAAAAAGCATGTTGTTATGAGGAGCCTCTGGCTGATAGTGCCAGTACATAGTCAAAATGTTGAGTATCTCATTTTAAATACAGCCTACTTCGTGATAATCCACATAGCGATAGAAATTATTCTGATACGGTTTGTACTGGGAGGAAGAGGACCTGGAGAGTTTGAGAGCTGCTTCCAGAAGTGAGTGACTGCTCATTGTGGTTTGCTTAGGTCACCACCGATGATCACTCAGCAGAAGCATTAATCTGCCTTGGATACATAGTTGGTGTGAAAGTTTCTGTAACTTGCTTTATTGCACGGTGCTCAGAGGGGAAGTGTTGGCAAACAGGGTACTGAAGACTGTGTTTAAGTGCATTTGGTTCTCTGCTGATTGCAGTAACTGAAGGGTGGTTTGGAGTGCCCTGCTTTACAGATAACGAACACATCTGTAAAATCACAATAATCGTGGCCTTTGACCGTGCCAGACTTCATGCCATGACGTTTCTTACATGTGAACTTAGGTGCCTTTTCTGAAAAAAAAAAAGTTAAAGATCTTAATGAACTGCCCTCTTATGCTTGTAACTAAATTTCTTCAGTGAACTCACAGACTATAAGCACCAGTGGGAGTAACCCAATTCTACAGAACTGTTGGAAAGTAAGCACGGACCTGCAAATAGGCGTTAGTTTAATTTTGATTCCTAAAGCACTGCGTAAGCTGTCTCATGTTCATGTGTGGCTGGAACTGTGCGTGCATGGCACAGGGACAAAAATTGTATCTTTTATGTTATGTGTTCAAAAAAGGCCTTTTTTGTATTCTTGTCTTACAACAGTGATTATTTGAGGTGAAACTATGGGGTTTTTTTTCCAGTTAAAAAAAATGGAGGAGTCTCATCAGGAAGCTACAGAAAAAGAAGTAGAGAGGATCTTGGGATTATTGCAAACTCATTTTAAAAATGATCGTAAGTATGACTCAATGAAGCTTTTAAAGCTTTAATTTGGGGAAATGAATACCCTTCGTCCGCAGTTAAGAATGGTTAAACTGTAGAAACGGAATTAGGTGGAAGTTGCAAGTAGAAGTCTTTGTTGAAGGATATATACTGTGTGTTTTTATGAATGGTTGTGGTTTGGTTGCAAAGTAAACTGAAATCCACCCGCTTGTTAGAGCGTGAGGTTTTTAGAAGGCAGAGAGTGGCTGCCTACCTATATGCGTGTGGCAAAAGGTGGAAGAAAGTAAGATGATCTGGAAACGTTGTTTCTTTCTGCAGGCAGCTGGGAACTCAGCCTTGTAACTAAACCGACATAAACGTTTGGTTAGCTTTTACCAGGAGCGCTGACCTTCAGTGTGTGGGGACATGTGTTAGCTCTGTGCTTACCACCTGCTCGGTCTGGTTTTTTCTAACAAACCCATTTCTGCATCTCCAGCTGATACACCCATTTCCTTCTTTGATCTTGTGATTGATCCGAACTCTTTTGCACGCACTGTGGAAAACATCTTTCATGTGTCCTTCATTATAAGGGTAAGGCGTGATGTCCTCTTGAAATCTTATTTTAGGTATTGGAATTGTCTAGAAGGATGGATTTGTTGTTTTTGTGGCTTCAGTATTGACAAATTAGGATTTAAATATTAGGAATCCTCATTTGTTTTCTACAAACGGCCTATGATATTTTGGTAACTGAATAAAAAAGAAAACAGAGTGGATGGACTAATTTTTTTTATTAGTTTTTTCTACTACAGTCAATTTACCAACAAAACAGCAGCGAAATATTTGCTGTTAATACTCGCTTCTCTGCCTCACAGTTTAGATCACAGTAGCCATAGTGCATGGAAGAGTTCTTGAGGTTGTAGGAAAATGTGTCAGTGCAGTGTTTTATGTTCTCTTGATTTGCACTTCAAACTGTACGTAGTTTCTCTAATAAAATGAATTTGGGAAAAGAAAACACAAATATATTTTGACTAAATTCAGGTTTATAGTGAATAGTGATGTGATTATGAAGGCTTAACTCAAGTATATTTAATGAATAATAATGATTTTTAATAAAAAAGAAAATTATAATCCAGCAGTTACCAACTGTCCAGTATCAGCTTCAGTCTTTATGACTAAGTGCTGGATTTAAATATTTTTTTCTTACTTGGTATGCCAATTAAGATTCTTTATCAATATATGTGCCTGTTTATGGTTATGTAATGTATGAATTAAAAATATTAAATCCTAGTGCATTATCCTAATCAGCTCTAATTTCTGACACTTTAAATCCTACTGTCTTTTAGGATGGTTTTGCACAAATAAAGCTGGATGACGATAAATTGCCGATAATAGGTAAAATTGAGCTTTAAAAGAGTATAATTGTTTTCTGTTACAACACGGAAAAGTAGCTATCTGTCTTACATGTTCACCAAGTTTTAGGTCTATTTTTAGCTGCAAGAGTAGAGATTCGGTGATATGTGGTGAATGTAGTTGAAGGCATGAAGAGATTTATGAGAGGAACTGAAAGGACTGAGTCTCTTTAAATAGCAAAATATGGAAAAAGGCCATTATGCCGATCTATACAAATAAATTTTATTAATAGAGGTAAAAGGTTATTACCTTTCAAGTGATATTTTCACTAATAAGCCATTCGACATTGCTGAGAAAAGCTGGTTTTGGGTGCAAGAAGTCTCCTTTGCCTGTCTGAGTTGGAAACCGCTTCAAAACAGTCAAAAAGGAAATGCTGTCCTATGTATGAGGTCTTTGGCTTTCATTCCCACAGGATATCGATGGGATTAAGACGTAGTTGGGGTTTCAGAAAGGATTAAACACTTAGGTCCTTCTAGGACTCTGAGAAATGTTAGTTTCTAAATTTTTAGGAGGTAAGAGTGCAGAAATTTCTTAAGATGTGTATGGTACAGGCTTAGAGACGAGCTTAGCGGAGCTGGTGTAATCGATTTGCTTTTTGTGAAACTTTTGAGTTCTGGAGGAACAAGTGTAAAGACTATGAAAATAACTGTGTTTTGAACAGAGCCTTCAAAAGACAACGAGAGAAAGGAGAATGACAATAGTGCTGGAGCACGGAACCAGGTTGTCATGTCTCTGAACCACCAAGAATGGAAGGTACAATAGGAGCACTTGATCCTTTTGATTCCTCGTTTTTTCTGAAGCGTAAGAATGTATCCGGGAGCTGTGCTGTGACGTACTCCCATGAGGACAGGTGTTCCTGTATACATTATCACTACATTTAATTGTATGGATTCCAGAATAATTACAAATCTGATAAATACTTTTAACCACAAGAAAACTGAGAATTGGGATAGCAGTTTCATCTTTGAAGTCCGGTCAGTTTAAGTGCTTTTAAGCTGTGCAGGGACTTGCCATTACTACTTTATACGAGGACTGCGTAAATACAGAGTCTGTTTCTTCCCTCCTGTACGCTACTTGCTTCTAGAGGGGAAGTTCTCCATACAGTTTCCCCACTGTTTGATGTTTGTAATTAATCTTAGACAAAAAGTAGTTTTTATCACATACAACTGTTATCCTTTGTCCCTCGTGTAGAATGTACAGAAGAAACACATCAGTAATTTGAAATAGTGCTTTAGTGTGAGAGACTTGGTTACTTACCTGGTGGTACTGCAATTAGGTTGGAATAGTTCACCTCTTGTAACTCTCATTCTCTTGTCTTCTCTAACCAGGACATTGTAGAAACATATGAAATAACAGAACCCATGATTAGCCCTCCTTATGAAATAAATGAAGATGAAATGAAGTCAGCTTAATTATTCAAGTAAGTTCTTTTAACAAACCAAACTAAGTAAGGATAACAGTGCGTGAGTTCCTTATGCATGTGGAAGAACTGCAGGGAAACTGCCAGTGCCATAATTGTAGAAAATCTGGAAGCGTGGTGACTGTATAATGTCTGGAACACTTCTATATCCTTGATGTCTTCATGGAACAAAGTGCCATCGAGTCTTCTACACAGTAATTAAATGGAAAAAAACAAACCAAACCAAACCCCTTTATTTTTACATTTGATGGTCAAGTCAGTTCAGTGATGTATTGAGTTAATTTTGGTGACTTTATACTCGTAGTTGGAGTGCAATGCTCTAAAGAATCACAGCTTAGTTTTTGTACTGTTTTGTTTTCTTTTTTAACCTACTGACAGCTGCTGTTGTTAATAGAGTAGTCTGAAGGAGTTAGGGAAGCAGGAAGGGGAGACAGCCTGGTTCCCTCTAAAATCCTTTAAATGATAGGATTGAATTCTTTTATTGTCAGAATTGTTTGGTAAGTTCCACATCTTAATGCATATTGTCTTATTGTCTTCTCTTTTTTCTTTCCCCCTAGGTGCCTTAAGGGAAGTATTTTAGAATGTTACCTTCAGAAAAGATTTTATATGTATATATTGTAAAATTAAATTTATTTTTATTGGAACATCTCAGCACTTTATACAAGTGGTCTTGTTTATACCTGTCACAGGGTTATTACCATATACTTCTATTTGTTATGGCTTTGTTTACTAATTTATATGAAGTTTACTGACACTTAGAAGCTTTTGTAAAAAGGAAATGCTATCCCCCTTGTTTCATCCCTTGTCTCTCCCCAGTAGCAGCCTGCGAGTGGAATTTACATGGTTAACCATCTCTGCTGTGATAACCTTGTTACCTAGATGGTCTGGGTGCTGCAGGAGAAATCGATACTGTCTTTCTGTCCTTACTTTTCTGGAAATCAAGGTTTGAGCTTGGAAATTTGGTTTGGAATTTACGGCTAAAAATTCCTCCTTCCTTTTCTTCTTCTGTTTGGTCTTGTAACGGAGGCAGGACAGCTCTATCAGGCCATGACTTTTTCTTCAAAATAATAAAGCGTGGCTCCATCTCCAGAAAATGCTCCAAATGCTCCGCTGCCTCCAAAGTTTTTAGGGTTTCCTCCCTCCTTTCACCATGAGGCAGGGTTTGTGATCAAGCAGCTGAGCAGTAGGTACCAAGCACCGCGGTCAGAGCGCGTTTCTGCGGGGTGATTCAATGTGGCCGGGCCGTGAGGGCAGGCAAAAACGTAGTTTGATCTTCTTTGGTCATTATAACAGAACTGAGAACTCCGTGTATCCAGCAAAGGCGGGGGGGAGGCCTGGCCGGCGCACAGTCCGCACCTCCGAGGGCGGCA